AGCCATCCAAACTTCTGATTGAGCATAGCAACCTTTAACATCAAATCTATGAACTTGAATCTTGATATTTCCATTTAGTCTTACAAGTTCTTCTTTTCTCAATCTCTCTTCTTATTCTTCCTCTTGATCATTCTTCACAACTCAAAGTTCAACATAATAACTCCTTTCTTTTCTTGAGGAAACTACACAAGATATTAAGTATGATAGTTAATCAAAATATGAGGTAAATAATTTATGCAAACTTTTTGCTCTATTATTTGAAATCATCAAAAATAATCATATCTAACAAAACCATACTAAAACAGAGCAAAATCACCCATAATGTAACAAAAAATAGAGCACCCATTATCATCCTACCCACCCATAATGAAACCCTAACTTAAATCACCAACCCAAAAGTCCTAATGAAGCATTTTAAACCCAAAATGTTTGCAAAGAAACAAGAGGAGTAAATTGCAATAAATGAAGAACACAGACGAACATATAGATGCTGACAACAACCTCTTTGTTTTGACCAAAAATAGCTTCAATGATGCCCTTACTTGGACGATCTTCAATGATTACGGCAAAGGTGAATAGATTTGAGGTTCCTTGCTTCTGATGAGGGTTGATTTAGTGTCAATTTTTCAGAGGAGAGTGAGATAGCAATGTACAAATAGGAATAAGGTTCAAAATCATATTTCATTTTAGCAGGGACAATATAGTCTTTTTACAATTTGTCTTATTGCAACCAAGTCCTTTTGGGACTTCTAAGTAGTTACTAGATTTGTGGGGACCTTTTTGCAATATTTTCACTTCTATGAGACCTTAATGTCATTTTCCAAAGTTATTTGTGCGACACCCAATATCCTGAAATAATTAAAATGGTGCACCCAAATTCCAGGCTAACAAAAGCTCTGTGCTCACCATTAATGCCATGACTCAGCTGAAATTTGAGCATATAAAATCCTATTTAGCATATTACGTAAGCAGTTGGTGTCATTTTTTGGTTACTCAGAATTTAATTTTTCCCCCTTTCCTTTTAAAGCCAAAGATGGATTGATTTAGAGCAAGATAGCAAACAAAATCAGGGTTCAATCTTCTACCTCCACTCGAGTTTAAATCATTGAAAGATCTCTACACCGCCACTAATCAGGTACTCTAACAAGATGCAAGAGAAAAGCTCATCCATTTGATTTTTCTAGTAATCAGTGCAAGAATAAACTATATTCTGGAGGGAGAACTACAAATTAAAGCATAATACAAGACTCATACAAGAAGCAAGAGAACGCTCATCCATTTGATTCACCTATTGCCTCAGCTCAGCTAAGCAAATCGATTGATTCACCCATTGACTTGGCCACAGAAAAAACCATTACGTCCATCGGCGAAAGATGGGGTAGAGAAGAGTGAACTATAATTTTGTTTCCTCTTTTGCTCTGAATTAGATGATCTTTTGTTTTAAAAGAAAAAAACATTAGGAATTTAAGTTAGGGTCGAGGGAAAAAAAATTACTATTAGCAGGCTTAAACAGGCCGTCCCTTTTATTTTTGAGCCCTACAGGACTAGCCCTTTTAAGTCCAAGTTTCCTTTGAATACCCCAAATTACAAGCTTGACTCTCAACTTAGACAGATTTAAATAGGCCAGCCTATTTTCCTGGCTCTAATTTTGTCTCGATTTATGTAAAAGTATTTTTTTAAGTGATTGTGGACCTTTCCAAACACCCACATCCAAAAAGATTATTAGTGTCTCTTATAAGCAAAAATAAGCCATTTCTATTTAAAAGAATTCTTATATGATTTATAAAGTAGAGAGAAGATTTTTCTTCGTCTTATTTATAAGTCACCTCATTAAATTTTTAGTATAAATATAATATTTTTTTCTTTTATTTACTATGGTGTAGATAGGTTTTTTTTTCCTTTTGAAATGTGTATACATTAGATAAGGGCGTAGTTGAAAAGTTATTATATTTTAACATAAATTTAATACGATTCAATGTTATTTTTAGCCTATGTGAAGTATACTAAAAACGTCTTATACATATGCTCAAAGAAGTAGGGAAAAGTAATTTGGAGGTCCTTATAGTTTTCCTCCATTTTGATTCAAGTCCTTGGACATTTTCCTCCATGTGTTAGCCCTACGGTTAAATAAAAGCTAACGCTGTTAAAATTTTCTATTAGAAATCACTGTAGAACGTCCAAGACATCTTCTCCCTTTGAAACATCTTCATTGTCTATCTCTTCCCCCATACCCAAGCTCTTAGGCCAAGCTTTCATCCCTCCTTGGCTTGCTTCTCAACATCTTCTCTCTTTCACCATGCTCCTGACCTCACCATTCATTCACCTATAACACTTTCTCACTTCAAAATTGGGGCAACTGCATCTTTGAAATTTGCTTATTACATTCCCAACTCTAAAAATGGTAGTCAAAGCACATGATGTCTCTACTTTGGGAGCATTAAAGGAAGCTATGCAATTCTCGATTTCCCTAAGCTGATCAACATCCTTCCTCATCCTGGGTCGTCACTCGCTCCTCGAGACATGCAAGTGGCATGCTAGTTGCCGAAGGCTGCTCAGATAAGTTTGGCCTATTGATAAGCTGTCCTCATTGTGGCTAGTTTCAACAATAGACCTAGGTACTAAGTTGGAGAAACTAAGCGAGATAATAATATTGGAATTGGTGAAGGAAGTTGTGTACATGGATTCAAAAGAGGGATGGATGTGCGAGCCATTGTGGTTATAGAACATGGACAATTGGGATGGGCATGTTGCATATGAATTGTGGAATTACTAAAAGTGCGTTGTTCTTGTTTTTGCTAATACATGTGATGATCTATTCTCCATTTTGAATTTTGTGCGTTAAGGAGGGGAAGGAGAAGATGTTGATGGAGTAAGCGAATGACGGAGGAAAGCTTGGTCTAAGAGCTCAGGTACGAGGGTAGACACAGACGGTGAAGATATTTCAATGGAGAAGATGTTTTGGATGTGGTGCTGCATTTTCTAACAGAAAATTTTGATGGTGTTTGATCTTATTTAATAGCAAGGACTATTGTGTAACAACTTAAAGTTAAAGGACCTGATAAAAAAAAAGTTGAGGACTTGATTCAAAATAGAGGAAAACTATAAGGACCTCCAAATTACTTTTCCCTAAAGAAGTATATAAAACGGGTGGGGTGATAGACAACGATTTGATTGTGGTTAATGGTTATTGATAAACCTGTTTTATGCATGCCACTTTATCCTTATTTATAAGTCATTTACACTATAATCCCACAAACCAAGAAATATATTAAATTAATAATTTTTTCACATTTTGCTCTTATTAAAGGAAGGGTGTATAAAAAATATGTTTTATATTTTTTCTCATCTATTGAAGTCAAGAAGGGTAAAATTAAAAAATGTTCATTAGCTACTCCCTTCATCCCTTTTTATAAGCAATAACTACTATCATCCTCTTATCTCTAAATACAAGTAACATTTGCAAGTTGTCTCAAATTTTTGTAGCAAATTTTCTATTTTTCCTCTATTAATTATTTATTTTAATATCCAATATATTTATTATCCCATTTTTCAAACCATCATCCCTTTCCATCAACAATTTCTCTCTTTCATAATTCTCCATATTATAATAATTTTTTATTCTCTTTCTCATACTCTCTCTTTTCCCTATAAATAAGGGTATTTTGAAGAAAAAACTTTTAATTTCTACTTATTTAATTTCTATCTGAATAAATTCAACTATCATTGAATGGGAAATTTTCTTCTTCTTTTTTTCCCTTCTCTCGACAAACCTCATGTTCTTCTCTCTAGTCTCCACAGTCTTCCACCCACATAGGCGAAGTCTCCACTCTCCACATTTGGGAGTTTGGAATTTGGATGGTCTTGTTGATTTTTCTTTTTTTAACCCACAAATTCTTTTTGCTATTTTCATTGGCCCCTCTCTTTTTTTTCGTTTTAGCATTTGGATGGAGTATGGATTCTTCTTTTTTTTTCATTATTTTTATTTGTCTAAATTAAAGAATAAATAAATGAGGTCTCAACCATTTAGACTGGTCCAGGCAGTCCCCTGAACCAAGTCTGGTCCAAGCCAACTTCAGGTTTGTACTGGATTAGACCTAACCATGGGCTGCATTATGCAGCCTGAGGCCTTTATCAAACCAAGACCTCAGGCTTAGCATCAACCTGGCTTGGTATGGTCAATGCGTACTCTTAATTCTAACAAACCCTTAAAATTAAATAATTTATATTTTATAAACAACAACAACAACAATAATAATAATTTTATTCAAACTAAGTAAACTTAATAATAGATACTTACTAAATCCAGATCCTTGTTGATTTGTTTTCAATTTGAATTAACTTACGTATGGGTCTTCATTCAGTGCTCATCACAATAATGATTACCATGTGCTCATCATTGTGATGCGATCTAAACCATCCAAAATTTAATATGGAGGGTTCAAATTTAAAATTTTTAATATACAATTTTTTCAATAATAAATTTATTTTTTAAAGATATGTTAGTTATGATATTATATTTATGTTAAATTCTGTATCTATAAAAACAAAAAATTGATTAAAATATATAAAAAATTTAAATTCAATCTGAACTATGAAAAAGTGATCTAGATAGTGTAAATTGCGATGAGCACTCCATGTTCATATTGTGATGAGCATGAAATATGCTCTCCCGTTGGGTTTGTCCAAATGATTGTTTTTAGTTTTGCTAATTAAATGATTTTATTATGTCATATTTACGAACGATCTACTATAGTTATTGAGGCTTTTGAAGTATTTTATTTTAAATAGAACAAATATGTTCCTAAAGTAACTTTGTCAGTGTCCTATTCGTTTGAGATTTGTAAAAAACTGAGGTATAAACCACTTATGAGGAATGCGGGGGGTGTGTATAATAAGGCGCACATTTTTTATCTTGTACAGAAAAGGGGGTGAGAAGAAGAAGATATGCATATTTTCTCATAGACTCGCATTATTTATTAAAATTAAAGTAATATGCTATCAAAAGTAAAATTGATAAATCTGAGTAGGATTCTGATGGTCAATACATAAATATATTATAACCAATAGTTTCTGACTCTTTATTTAAAATTTAGGGTAGACATACTTAGAGTTCATAACAACGCCAAATCAGAAATTGACGGCAACTTAGTGGTACTAGTCTATATGGTTGGGTATGAAGCGGCAGTATTAATAGAGCAAACTCCATTTGGTGCTTTTGAATTCCTTTGAATCAAGAAGTATCCGTTCATTCCCCAATCTTCTCCCCATGAGTTCTTTACAATCCAATAATCTTTGCCATCTTTTGAGTCATATCCCACGATCAAAACTGCATGATTTGGTTGAGTTCCCATGGGGCAACTTTCACCATCAATAATCCCCTGGCAAAATAATAAAACAAAAATAATTAGAAAAAATTTATGAGATTGATGGTTAACTAATTAACCATCGAATTTAAAACTAAAAAGACTGATAGAAGATTAAGCTTAAGACTTACGCCCTGATAAAATTGAAGTGGTGTTGCATCCAAACCCACCGTAATAGGTTGATTAGCGATGGCACACAAGAGAGCATGATCCGACTGCTTTACGGGTTCATAGCCATTTATTTTCACAACACTTTTCTGAAGGAACATAAAGAAAGCACAAATCAGATGAGGAAAAGATATATAGATGTACTTCAAAATCTCCACAAAGTAAAGAAACAAACCTTTTCAGCTTTGCAATGACCCTTTTCCCCCACATAAGGATAATCATCTTCTTTACTGAGCCCGCCATTCTTGACAACCCATTTAAAGGCCGTCACGGGAAATCCTCCTGAACAAGCATGGTTGGTGAGGTCACAATCCAGAAGTTCTTGTTCAGAAAGGCGAACAAGTTCCCCGTTTCTTATTGCATTCGCTGATTCGATTGCCCCAGTGGTCGCGAATGCCCAACAACTTCCTGAACCATGAAACATTAATCAAGGTATTAGCCCTTTGAGGTTCCAAAGAATTATATAAATATAATTTAGAATATCCTCAAGAATAGAGACTAATTTTTGTTGGGGCAGGAAGCGTCAAGATTAAAGCTCGGAGTGTGCTTGTGGGAATTTGAGCTTGTGTTCTTTTCTTCTAGCATGTATTTTAACTCTATGTTCGTCAATAAAATATATATACAAGAGCAACTCACCACATCTTTTCTGGTTTTTGACAGGAGTCACCACTCTTTTCTGTCTCCAATCCATGGAAGGAGGTGCATTTTCACATGAATTGTTGGGCTGCCTATGTCCCGGCCTCGAGGTAGCCGGCGCGATGGTGGTCGGAACCTCCAGGGGATGGAGGTACACTCTCTTAAACTCCTCAGGACTCATATCAGCAAACTTGTTGAGTCCCAAACGATAGGCACCAGAGGAATTGGATCTCTTGGCATTTGTCACAGTGATGTACTTGAGATTTCTTTGGAATATTTGGAATCTAGTGTTGCTCTCTTCAGAGTTTGCGTAGACTCTTCCATGCTCCGCCATCCATTGCTGGAACATTTCAAAGTCTTGTTCAGCCTTTGAAGGGGAAACTGATGATTCGCTGGTAGGGAATCCTGAAGAGAGACAAATCAGAATAGAACACCAGATCAAGGGAAAAAGGAACTGAGACATACTAGTGTAGAAAGCCATGCTTATTTTGTTGTTTCAGTTACTGAGAAATGAAACTTCAAATAAGCTTGCATGGAAGTGAATTCATCCACGAGCTATTTATAGACAATTCTTGTTACTTGCAGAAGAAAACGACATAGATTGACGTCAATATTATTTTTTTATTTGACGGATGATATTTATAACCGATCAACGCGTTACCCATCCTTGACGCACAAGAACGTGTCAATAATCTTAAAGCCTCTTTTTTTCAAAATAATCTTATGCACTGTTTGGCTGGAAGGTTTTTGGAGGGAAGGGAGGAGAAATTGTGTTTGGTTGGAAAAAAAAAATGGAAGAGACGGGAGGATAAAAAATTGTCTTAGTGCTCTTCTCCTCCCCTCCAGATTTGGGGTTTTTTTGAAAGAAAAAAAAATATTATGTCTCATCCTGACCAAATTACTTATATTAGTTTTTGGATATTCATAGTTTATCCTTTTTAGTAAAAACTGTTTTTCACTCTTTTTCCTTTTCAGCCCCTACAAATTGCTCTATAGATTTTTTTTTTCACTCCTCACATGTTCTTTTCTTTTTCCAATTTCATCATTCCCCACGCTCTCCGCCATTAATCTTCCCTATCTTTTCCTCTCGCCTGTCCCCCACTTCATTTATCTTATCAGTATTATTAGTATTTTGTTTCATTTATTTATTCTATATGAAGCTATTATTTTTTGGTTTATATGAGTCATTGGATCCATTAAAATAATATTATCAATCGCCAAATCTGTTGATATTCCTGTCTATATATACCTATTTTAATTCAATTTCATTTTCTTACATAAAATTTTGTGTGTTATCCAATTAGGCACATGAGGCCGCGCATGTTATCTGATTAAGGATAGAATATTTCAAAGCTTGTTGCATAAATTTATGGTTTAATACAAACTTTGGTCCTTTAAATTTACCCTCACTTTGGTTTTGGCCTCTCAAATTTCAAATCATAGGTTTTAGTCCTTCAAGTTTCTTTTCATTTAAAATATTGGTTCTTGTAATCCAATAAAAACTTGGACTTTTTTGCCCATTGAGGAACTAAAACCAAAATAAAAGCAAACTTGAGGGACCAAAAATTATATTAACCCTAAATTTATTTATAATTTATATAATATGCTAAAGATTATAATATTTTTTTTTATTGACATTTATTTTGATCTATGATTATTTATAATCTATTTGTTATGTCTCAAGATAACTGATTTTTTTATATTCATAAATTAGAAAATAATTACTATTATATAAATATTGTAATAAAATAATAAAGAAATCGAAATAAAGAGATAAGGACATATTTGTTAACTTATAATTAGCCCCCCTCCTCTCCTCCTAAACCAAACAAGAAACCTTCCTTCCACTCCCTTCTCATCCAACTGAACAAGACTCATAAGCTCCTCTCTCCTCCTCTCCTCCTCTCCCATCGCATTAATTAACATCCCCTCCCCTCCATTGAACCAAACAAAGCCTTAAAGTACGTTTTGAATACGGTTTAGTATGACTCAGGCAAGGGAAAGGGAATAATTCATCGATGTATAGATTTTGACATATTTTGACAATTTTCGTTGTGTCAAACCAAAACAATTTGGAGTGAATGGTTGCTGATAAACTGATGAAAAAAATCTTCGTCTTGTTCTCTGTTACGCAAATCGCGGACGCCTCAATTAAAGAAGGTCACTATGTTATTGTTTAAAGAGAAGAGACTTTTATACTCTAATGAGCGTTATTTGTAGCAGAGAGACATATATATATATTTATATATATATGACTGGCCAAAAACTAAAAGATTCTTTCAATAATTTTGGAAATTTAACCCTAAGCGCAGCTAACAATGAGGAAGAATCAAGGCTAACATTTTTCGAAAAAATATTAACTTTATATATCAGGCAGCTATTATAATATAATGTCTTTTTTTTTTATTATTATTATGATGATGCATGTGAAGGACACCTTAAGAATCTCAATTAATTAATATTGAAACTCATAAGTCATAACCTTGTTACGAGTAAACCGTGATTTCTTGAATTGTAGACATAATAAATAAATATTTGTCTTCTTCAACGTTACAGACGCCACTACTATTGCTTAGAACTCTGACAATGAAATCAACACTTCAATTCAAACAAGGAATTCATACAAAAGCTGCTTTCAAGTGCATTAATACGTAATTGCAAAGTACTCCCTCCAATCCTATAAATTAGATATGTTCTTAAAAAAAATGCTATAGTTTTTTTTTTTTTTTTGCTTTTCTCTGTAGCACTGAATTGGTTATTTCAGAAATGATTTCCGGCACATTCCAAGTGTAATATAAAAATATTTAAAGATCATATTTAAGAGAGGCAAAAATTAAAAGTGGTTGAATTTTAAGACAATTTTGTTATTTCAACAAATTTACTTTGGTTCGGCGAGTTACTTAAAAACAACTTATATATAGCACAAGAGAGAATACAAATTTTGGACGAAGACAAATGAGTATTGTTGGATATTTTCTTTTTCTTAGTACACGCAACACATATTGTCGTTTTTTGGACTGAGTATTCATTTTATTATTATGATTGAAATATAGTGGTGCATAGTTGTTATGCAGGCTTGGAAAGCTATGAAGGAAGAAAAATTGTTCATATAATTGGATTCAAATATATATAAAAGAATTTGGATCATATAATGAAGTGATTAACTGCATCCAAATTGGGTTGCTGGGCTAAAGAAAATCCAGATGCAAGGCCTTCCATAGAACTTTAAAGATAACACAAGGGTTAAACTAATTTTACTCACAGGAGTTTTTCCAGAGTACCCAAAAAGTTTTTGAGGATTAATATATCACCCTAAAAATATCTAAAAAGGAGCAAATTTACCCTAATAACCGTTAAAAAAAATCTAACATTGATCATTAAAAATTAATGTTAACCATTAATGTTTTTAATAATCAGAGGCAATATTGCTCTTTGGTAAACACATTTGAAAGATTAAAAAAAAAAACAAAACTTTCTTATACTACGGCTCCTACGTAAAAATCTTTAGGACAAAATTGCACCCTAAAAAAGGAAACTATTCCTATTTTACTCTGCACAATTGTGTATGGAGATATACCGTTTATATTATGTCCTACTCTTCTCAATATTATTTTAAAATGACTCTATTACAGAAATTACTACCATCTACAGGAGCCATTTTTATCAAAGAAAAAAGAATAAAAATGTAAATTTTGAACCATTTGATTTTTCTCCAATGTTTTGGGAATTTTCGGGTTGGTTTCTTGAAGACTAGCTCTTGGTGCGCCTTGTTTTTTCTATGGAAAACGATGATATATAATCAACACATTATTGAGAAAGTAACCAACCCGAAAGCTGGGTGTCGTAAATGGACTGGTAAGCTGGGAACTTCCCCACGACTGGGGCCCCTAGTCCTGTTAGTTACAAGTGAGTTAGTTTGGCAGTTAGCAGAGTCCATTTCGATTGCTGAAAGAGGAGATGTTAACACAGCTGGATGATGTTAGTACTTTGCAAGTTCTTCAATTTAGCTTCAAGGTAGCTAGGGGCACCAACGTAAGACAAAATCCATTTTCTATTTTTGTTTTCTTTTGATGGATGTGACAATAATAGTTGAAAATATATGTTATATATTTAGTTGTGTAAACGGCAAATATAAATATGAGACTGAAAGAGTAAAATACATTCCTAACCTTATTTTATATTGGGAAAATGAATGTTGCTGATCATGGAACAATATGGTTTTAAGACAAAAATGTAACTTTAAAGTCTCTAAATAAATTTTCTCTCAATTATTGATCAAGTCCATAAACTTTGATTTAAGACACAACTCAGTTTTTTTAATTTATTAAGTGGAAGCGTTCTAAAAATTGAGTTGTCTTGAGTTAAGAAAATATCAGGGCTAAATTTTTTATTATAAAATTTTGAAATTTGAGTTACTCCTTTTGTATTTTTGAATAAAACTCTGAAATTTTAGGCCCCAAACTTGATTTCGATTAGTAAATTTGAGAGTGGTAGCTAAGATTTTTTTTGACGACGGACACAAAATTTAAGGATATCTTTTTTGTATATTTAAAATTAATCTATGATTTATAACTGTTATTTTTTCCTTTAAATTAGGGCTGCTTACGAGATGGAATGGGGACTGAGACACCCCCTCCCGCCTGCATCCCATCCCATAAAAAAAAAAAAAAGCAGGACACCATTTTTGTCTCATGTCCCGTCTCATTATTCTGTTCACAACATGAAAGGGTCTTGTGCATGAATCAAATTCATCCAAGGCGATACTTCCATGAACTTACTTGGTTCAACCAACAATCTTCTGCAATCACAAATCCATGACGAATGGGACGTCTGAAAAATATCTAAAGGCGAGCAACTATAGAGTATGAACACAGGACATATAACAACTGTCCAAAGAATCGAAGCTTAAAAATGAAAGTAAAGGAAGCACAACAGACAAAGACTGAGAGATACTTTATATGTTTTTAAATGTAAGACCCATTCTGTAAGATAAATTTATACTACAAAATGGGCCTTACATTTGTGACCAAACGAGTAATAATTATTCAATCAACTTGTTTAAAATGGATCCTCTGTTCATTCATGCCATGGCCTTCGTACCGTCTCCAATAAGTTCCGTATAACGCAAGGAAGTGTTTTACGTGTTAATGTAACAAATGTGAAACTCCTTTTGAGTCCACGCCTCATTAATATGTTTAGAGTGTCAAATGTGTGCTGATTGATTGAAGAATGATGGGGTTGGGGCCTATGATGTGTCTTGCTTTATAAATATCAAGTGGTTAAATGATGCCGTTTTTAATTTGTTTATGATTTTTTAAAGAAAAATAATCTAAAATTATGCTTATTTTCTTTGAAAAACCATTAAAAAAAAGATTAAACCTGTACCATTTATCACTAAAAGTATTAAAATATCACTTATTTTATATACAATATAATAATTAAAAGTGAAATTAAAAAGGCATTTGAAAAGTTGGAGCATTACAGAAAATATTAGATAATAATATTATAGGTAAGCACATTATAGACCCCAAATCCAAAAACGACTTTGTTGGTTTTTTTAGAAGGAAAAATAAGAATGAATGAAAAGAAAGAAAAGAAATATATATGGTTAATTTCTCGACTATTCATGTTTAATTTTGTTTTTGATGGTGCTGAAGGTATAGATATAATATTTACTGATGAAAATTTAAAATGCCTATTGGAGATGTTAAAATGAGATTAGTTAGTTAAGATTAGTTTGTCAATTATAATCGAGCGGCCCAGTTTAAGCTCAAGCTTGTAAATCAGCAATTCTCTGGGGCTTTAAAATAAATTACTTTAGATATCCAATATATATATTTATATGATCATAAATAACAAAATATATAATGTGTTTCACTATAATTAATCAATAATTTATGACAGTTTATTTAAAATTCATGACATAAAACAAGAACTTGACACTTACATGGTTGGGTAGAAAGCTGCAGTATTGATAGAGCATACTCCATTTGGTAAACCCATGTTTCTTCGGATCAAGATGGATCCTTTCATTCCCCAATCTTATCCTCAGGAGTTTTTCGCAATCCAATAATCTTTTCCATCATTAGAATCATATCCAACAATCAAAACAGCACGAGTCAAATTGTTTGATTCCCTGGGGCAATTCTCACCTTCATAAATTCCCTAAAAATAATAAAAGAGCAATCAGATCAAACTTAAAAATGAAATAATGTTGATACTTCTCAGGATTTATCATCTGGGGCAATTCTCACCTTCATAAATTCCCTAAAAATAATAAAAGAGCAATCAGATCAAACTTAAAAATGAAATAATGTTGATACTTCTCAGGATTTATCATCTGATGTTGTTACACAAGAGAGCATCATCTAATGGTGTTACACGTTGATAGTTACTAATTTTGACGGCAGTATTCCCATTCTGGTTAAGAAGCATATATAAAGAAATAAGTTAGACAAAGAGAAACATATAAATATATATAGAGACACACACACATACAGAGAGAGAGAGAGATGCCATGTTGGCTCTGCAATAACCCTGCCGAGCGGAATAAGGATAATCATCTTCTCTGCTAATCCCGCCATTTTTTATAAGCCAATCAAAGGCATTAGAGGGCCATCCTCCTGAGCAACCTTGGCTCATGGAATCACTGTCTATGAGTTGTTGTTCAGAAAGGGTGATAAGTTCCCTTGTGGCTATTGCATGTGCTGATTCAGTGGCTGCAGCAGCTGCAAATGCCCAGCAACTTCCTGCGAATCATCGTTAACCATAAATCTATATGAGTCCATTGAGGATCAAGAGAAGAACCAATTAAAAATGATTCCACGTGTCCCCTTTTTTTGGGATATGAATGACATCAATTAATCATGTGGGCATGTGTACTATATATATTTGTGTCTCAAGTCTATGTTCATAGATAACAATCTTTCCAGTCTCTAATATAAGAGCTCATTGGGATGCTGGATCTTCAATTCAAAATATAAGACATCAATTCACTTAGGGTCACATATTTATCATTTTTTCCCCAAACTAATTTACCTAATTTATAAACTAATGTATAATCTAATGTTATACAAAGTTATTTATTTTAGAGAGGTCACTATATCCTATTTGTTATAATTAATTAATTTATTTAACTTCGTGAGTTATCCAGCAAGAGTAAAATATATTTGTACACCTACATAAATTAAGTTGGCTGAACAAGAGAGGCTTACCACATCTTTGTTGGTTTTAACTCCAGTGACAACTCCACGCTCTCTCCCATCCATGGAAGCAGGTGCTCCACAGGAGTCCTTCTGCTGCGCATAATCCGTCGTCATAGTGGCCGTGGTGTTGGTGGCAGCGGCAGGGATAGGGGCGACGGTGGTCGGCATTTGAGTTCACGTAGGTAAATTTTCCTAAACTCCTCGGGAATCATATCAGCAAACTTGTGAGGGCCAAACGATAACTACAAGGCGCAGTGTAATTTTGATCTGTTAGCATTCATATCTGTAATATACCTGAGATTCCTGTGGAATATTTGGAATCTGGTTTCACTCTCTTCAGCGTTTGGGTAGATCCTTCCATGCTCCTTCATCCATTGTTGGAATATTCCAAACTCGTTCTTTCTTTGAAGAAAAAACAAATCCCTTAGTAGAGAATCCTGAAGAGAGACTTGTTAGAATGGAACAATAAACCAAAGAAAGAAGGAACAACCTAGCGTTACAGAAAGCCATGCTTATATTTGATGTTTCAGATGCTAAAGATCTGTCGAAACTTGAAATAAGCTCAAAAGCTTATATATAGTGTAATTCTTGATACCGATTATGGAGGGAAAAAAAGACATTAAATGTTGTATGTTAATTTCTATTTGACTTGTATCGTGCTTCACAATTTCGAGCTGGTTCATTGATCTCATTGGTGTGGTTCATGCTCGTATGAGATTGTTTCTTCGTTCAACGTTTGGTCAGAAAGTTCGTTATTACATAATTCATTTTGGTTCCACCAACCTTAAATAAGGGAACATTAATCATTTGGTCCCTATAATTTTTTCTAAATTGTAACCCAATTCCTGGACTTTAACTTCATGTAAGTCAGTATCCATGGTTTTCATTTTGAAACTATTGATCCCTGAATTTTAAGTCGATACAATGCATTACCCATAGTTTAGCCATCTTAAGCATTAGAACCTAAGGTTAAAAATTGAGTTATTTCCCCTGAATAGTTAAACAACTCTTCTTTTTAAGATTATTTTGGATTCTTATATAGATTGAATACTTATTTGAGTTACTTCCCCTTATAATTGTGGTTTATGATAGACTGTGTGTTCATTTAATGGATGCTTAAGAAATTGAGGAACTTGAGTCAAACCATACGGGAGCTTAAAATTTGCAATTTTAATTGGAGATTTTGTCATTAACTTCAAATAGACAAACAGTCACATTATTGGGCAGACTTTGTATTGATTAACTCGAGGGGAAAACATAATCCATCATTGACAAAAAGAATACTAATGGGGTCCAAATGTTGTATGGTTTCATTTGATTATTAATTAAATTCCTGTAATTTTTTATTGGATTCTTAGAGTTTCATTGGTTTTAGTTGCATCTCTGTAGCATTTTTGTCATTCTTATAGTTTCATTTAATTTTTAATTAGGTAACCATACATTTTTTTTGCCCCCCAAAACTACATAAGCTTATTAAAAATCGGGTCAGATATAAGTACTTGATAAAAAGAAAAACATCTACAGGGACCTGATTAAAATCAGATCAAACCATATAAAGATGGTAAAAGTAAACCACTCTTTCCAATCATATATATACTGAATTGAGTTTTGAAAGAAAATAGGATAAAGTGGCATCCAGCACGCTGAAATTGTTTTTCATGTGTATTCCATATCCTAATCTTATTTATGATCTATTTAGCATTTTGATACTCCTCCTGTCCTAAATATAAGACCCTCTTTTGTAGTATAATTTACATTACGGAAGGGGTCTTATATTTAGGACCGGAGGAATATTATTTAATGTTGCTTCCAATACTATAATCGTAGTTATAGACTTGTATGGACATAACTCGGTTTTGTAGTGCGAGTAGGACAAGTCGCATAATGAGGACAATATGAGAAATTCAAACATGATTAAAGTTGAAGGATGCATTTATTAATTATTTAAAAAAAATGCTCTCATACGTAAGAGGTGGATGACCATAAATTCCAATTGAAAAAGAAAAGGTTCGAAACCACACAGGTTGATTCTAGTTTTTTTCTATTCTTATTTCTAATAAAAAAAATAATTAAGTTTAAGATGAAGTTAAAATGTTTATTTAATTTTTATTTATAAAATAGGGAAAATGACACAGAAATGATACTTAAAATGTCAAAATAGTCACTTAAATTTGTAAAATCCCAATTTAGTCATAAGTAACCAATTTGACATTTGTAAATTTGCCGAAATGACCATATTACCTTTTGTTTTTATTTATTGTTTTTCAAAAAACCAAATGCCCTCGATGGCTAGCCGATCCCAAAGCTTCGGCCACTGGAGCTTAGGTGGCTGTCTGTTAACCTTGTGAAATTCATTTTATTTCAGCACCTTTTCCTTTAGTTATCATATTTTTTGGTGAATTAATGCATATTTGAGAGTATTTAGGATAAGAAAATGTGCGTAGTTGATACTCGGGCCAAAGTTGTGGATTTTCAATTAATTGTGAATATTTTGCCCCTCACTCATCAAATTGGTTTTAATAGTTTATCTTGCTTTGTTAAGTGGTTGAAGCTTCCCATTGGAGCCATTTGAAACAAATATTGATCCCATGAAATTGAAAAGATGCATAGGAAGCCATGCCACACTAAAAAAAAATCAAGACAAGAGGAGATGTAAAACAAAGCATTGTTGGCCTCAGCCAACAGAATCTCTTGGCCTCAGCCAACAATATTCCAGAGAATCATTGGTTGCAACCAAGGGAAATTAATCTTGGTCATAGCCAAGATCAAGATACAAAGGAATTGGCTATAGCTAACGTATAATTACTGATACTCTATCTTTTGAAGACATCATATGTTCTAGGGCTCCATATGTTATAAAATTCAAAGGGATGCATTGCAAGTTGAATGGATGGTTTTGTTAATGTACTCATTAACCTCACATAGTCATATAAGGTTTGCAATGAAAATTGGGGTTCAATTAATAAATTGAGAGATTAATGAATTAATTGAACTAAATACCTATTTGGACACTTGAGAGAGCACTGTAGGTAATTCAGTTTCCTGGCTAACTTAATCTATAATTAAGAAGCAAGTATGATGGGGATTTAATTGAGTACTTTTGAAATACAAGGGGGATAGATAATCCTAGGACCCATTTTGTCCTTGGAGTTGAAGAATCACTTTCTCTGCTTCTTTTATTAATTTTTAATTTTGAAAATATTTTTCCTTCACTCTTGATATATTTGTATAACTCAAATTAGACGAAAGTGTGATAATCAGTACTGGATTGGATTTTGTAACCAAATCTTCATGGGAACAATACTCTACTCATTACTTTATTACTTGTGACGATCCGAGCACTTGCGGTGGGAACACACATGTAGAAGATGTCATTGTTATACCGCCTCCAATCCTTTTTATAAGATCTCAAAATTTGAATTAGTTTGGTTCTTTTTTATGAGATCCTGCTTATGAGTTTTTGATTATTAAGTGTTTTTCTTCAATTTTGCTCTTGTTCAATTTTTTTTCCCTCTCATCATTTTTTTTCCTCATAGTATATTGTCTCTTATCATTTATCTCATTGCTAGTATGTCTTTCATTTTTTCCCGTTTTAAATAAGGGCTCATTTGAAAAAAGAATTCAACTTTTACATATTTATTGCTTTTAGCTATTTTAACTGTTTTTTTAAAACTTCATAATTTGATTAAAAGGATCTTGTACAAAGGACTGAACGAGTAGTTAGAGAGAGAGAGAGAGAGGAAAAAAACCATGTTGGTGGTTTTGCAAATTCTTGAGCTACACAAGGATAATCAGCTTCTTCACTAATCCTGCCGTTTTGTATATTCCATTCAAAGGCCATTCTGGTAAATCCACCCTCACAACCATGGTTGTCAGAGTTGCAATCTACGGGTTATTGTTCGGAAAGGGAAACAAGCTCCCCTGTGCTCATTGCATTTAGTGATTCAATAGCTTCGAAGGTTGCAAACGCCCAACAACTTCCTATGAACAATGAAATATTAATCCATTTTAGTCCACTGAGGTTCCAGAGAGGGAAAAAAGGGAATAATATTACCACGATTAGTTAATCTGACCGTTTGGTTTTATACCCAAAACCATGGTTTCAAAGTTGCAATCTACGAATTGTTGGCGGTCGGCGTCGGAAGCTGAAGGAGGTACACTCTTTTGAACTCCTCAGGACTCGTATCGGCAAACTTGTTAGAGTCCCAAACGGTTTCCAGATCTCTTGGCACTCGTCTCTGTAATATACTTGAGATTCCTTCGGAATATCTGGTATGTCACTTCACTCTCTTTGGAGTTAGCTAGGGTAGACTTTTTCATGCTCATTCATCCATTGTTGGAATAATCCAAAATCTTGTTCTCCTTTTGAAGGGAGAACGGATTCCTTTGTGGGGAATCCTGAAGAGAAACAAATGAGAATGGAACCGCTGATCAAGAAATGAAGGAACAGCGTTTTAGAAGAAATGGAGAAAGCCATGCTTAGTTGTTTTTGGAGTTTCAGATTCTGACAGATGAAACTTCAAACAACCTTGCATGGAAGTGAAACCAGGAATGAGGTGTTATAGTGTGATTCCGCTTTCATGTGAAGAAAAAGACAAAAACTTGGGACTTGTGTATTTCCTACTACCTCTATTTCTTATTATAAGAATTTGTTTGACTTTTAATTTGATCGTAAATATTAGGCCCCAACCCACTTTGTTTTTCATATTTATTTATTTATTTATTTTTAAAAATAGTCTTTGTAGTAGTAGCACATATGAAAAGTTCATGAAATAGTAATTGTAGTTAATATACATGATTAGCAAGGGTATTTTAGGAAAGACAATACTTATTTATAACAAATAACTAACTTAACTAATTTTCTTAATCCCTCCAAATTAATCAACTAGGTTTTATAATAAGGAATGGAGGTGGTATTTGACTTCTAATCTATACTAGCCACCATTCTCAATATAAGAGCTAGTTGGATATCCAATTTGATCCTCAAGACAAAATCTAAATCCACTTTGTCATCAAAATTTATCCCTTCTTTCTCAAAGTATAGTAGAGTTTCCATCAAATGATATTCTTAATACACATGATTAACAAAAGTATTTTATAAAAACAATACTCATTTATAGCAAATGACAAATTTAACTAATATATTTAATACACGTAAAACAACTCAAAGCGTGGATCTAGATTACTGATATGTTTCTCTTTGTAAATTGGGCCCAACTGGCACCTTGACGATGATGGCTCGATAGAGCACGAGGCATGTCGTTCATAATTCGGGTTCGGCATCAAAAGTTTTAAAAACACATAAAGCAATTTCACTTGAAGTGTTCTTTAGGGGGACACCCCTGGCAATATCAACAATCACATGTGCATTGGGCACCTCAGTACAGCAATTGCAATTTACAATTCCTCAATCGCGACTTTTTGTCATTGCTGAAACTACAAATCACCTTGCCAACCTCATCTACTGAGATAATACTTGTTGTAATCTAGAGATCTGATTTGAAGCAACCCCAGGGCATGCACACAAGGTTGAAGCTTCAAGCAAATTTTGCTACCAATGCAAAGACTTTATTGGTGGTTTTCACCTAAACACCTTAATCTATAAGTCACTTTCAATAATCAAGAAAAATTGTAAATCTCATTAATTTGTGTCATAAAATTATTTAATAACTTTTTCACTTTATCCTTATTTAAGATAAAGTTTTTAAACAAAAAACAAGTAATATACACAGCATAATACATGAAGAGTAAAACAGTATATTTATGTTAAGAATCTAATGACTTTTTTGCCAACAGAAAAAAATTTAATAATGTGACTTATAGGTAGGACAGAAAGAGTACTACTTATATCTTATAAATAGAATTAAGGGAAAATATATTTGTAGGTCCTTGTAGTTTGATCAAATTTTGAATTAAGTCCTTATAGTTTTATTTTTTTCTATTAAATCCTTCTAGTTAATTTTGTTAAATTTACAAGTCCTTCTGTTGCTAATGTTACAAACGCCGTTAACCCACAATGATAAAAGATGATCTAGCAGTGCGCTCTCTCTCCCCTCCCCCGGTTTGTGTCTCTCTCTCCATCACCTTTCTCTCTCATTTGTTAAAGCTAACCACCATGAGCTCGATGACACCCAGAAGTGAAGAAGGATTGCCTCTTTGATTGATCTTACTCCTCATCAACATGGGCACACTGCTTCTATGCTGTTATAATATATCAGAAAGAAGAAGCTTTGATCAGAGTCTTATGGGAGGAACTGATGAAGTTTTTTCCCGCTTCTTAGGCTTTATTTCTTGACTTTGTAATGATATTTACAGCATATATATAACCTCCTTTTCATATCACTCTGATTCTAGTCTACTTGAGCTAGCACACTGTGTTTTTGGTGAGTTTCATGTTTATCATATTTTCATGATCCATGATATATATATATATATAAAATTATGGCAATTAGTTTTCCTTTGAGATCTGAATTAATCAAATCTTGATTATCTATAACAAAAGACAACAAAGCAGCGGTGCTTATGAAAGTGGCCACAGAAGTTCAGCGAAAAAATTGCCATGGATAATGCTGAACGCCAATCCTCACTATACTCTGTCTTGGCGTAATCAAACTTATAACAGCATAGAAGCAGTGTGCTCATGTTGATGAGGAGTGGGATCAGTCAAAGAGGCAGTCCTTCTTCACTCCTTCTGGGTTTCATTGAGCTCATCGTGATTAGCTTTAATAGATGAGAGAGAGAGAGGTGATGGAGAGAGAGACACAAACTCAGGGGAGGGGAGAGAGAGCGCACTGCCAGATCATCCTCCACCATTGTGGGTTAACGGCGTTTGCAATATTAGTGACGGAAGGACTTGTAAATTTAACAAAATTAACTACAAGGATTCAATAAAAATAAATAAAACTCTAAGGACCAAATTCAAAATCCGATCAAACTATAAGTACTTGCAAATATGTTTTCCCTAGAATTAAAAGAGTATGACTTTTGATTTAAAATCAATGACAATAAATTTAATATCATGATGGCTTTGGGGAGGGGGTTGTGCATGGGACGAGGGAGGGACTCGAAGGGAAGGGGTCTCTTTCATATGGATGACCAAAACTGAACTAAATCTGAAAACCAAGCCGAACCAAACTTAATTTGGTTTTATAGGTTCGGTTAATTCAGTGTTCGGCTTTTTTTTTAAAAGGTTTTTGTTTCAAATTTTTCCGATTTTCGGTGTTCAATCCAGTGTCCTAAAAGAATTTCGGTTATAACTGAATAACCAAATTGTAATTCCTCACCACATCCCAATTTCCACTCATCTCCTCGCAGTCAAGCCCAAGATTGATTTCTCGTTGGATCCATGAGACATCTGGCTTTGAATATGTGTGTCTATATTTCATGTTGTTCCAGGATTTAAATAATAAAGCTGCACATGGAATCCTGGGATTTTTTTTAATCTAAGAATATTTACCGTTTGTGTTGTCCTTTTCTTGAGCAATAGAGAAGCCCTGTATTAGTTGAGCTGCTATGGCATCTGCAGCATATCCCCAGTAATATTTTCACTTTAGGCTCTTGATATAATGAATAAATAGAAAAGTTTATTGAAATAGAAAAGACCCAAAACCCGAGTAAACTGAATAACTGAACCAAATTATTTCTTTTAATTCAGTTCGGTTTCTAATTAATGTTCGGTTTCAGTTTGATGTTTAAAATATATACATTTTGACTTTTTTTTTTGGTTAATGGACCTAACCAAACTAAATAACAGATTGCTCAGCTTTTCCTTTTCCCTCCATTTTCCTTCACTTTTTATCTCAATCGTTAAGATTACAATTTGAACGGACTAGATTTTATACTATAATGTATTTTTTTTTATTGTTGTTTTAAATTATCATTGTTAAATTTAGTAGTTTAACTTTATTTACTTATGTTTTAAAAAAAATTAACATTTTATTCTGATTTTCATAACATGAAATTTGGACTGTTTAAATTGCTATCCTAAGATTGGAATGGGAAGTGGAGGGAAATGGAGAGGAAAATAAGAACAAAAGAATATATTGCTATTTGGCCTCACAAAAAAAAAAAAGCCAACTCCGTGTAAAATATTTTATGGATATTTTTGTCACTTTTTTTGGCCTCGGGATATTTTTGTCACTTGAACCCCAGTATTTTTGCTTCTTAAATTCATTACTGGAGTCATTATCATGTTTATCCCCTCTTCTGGGTTTCTCCGCCTCCCACGCACTGCCAATTTACTTGATTGTCACAAGGTTGCAAGTTTGAATCTCGTCAAAATGCTGATTCAATCATCATAAAGAAACAATCACGGTACCTTAGCTTCTTTAATTGAGGCCTCCGCGACTTCCGCAACATAGAACAAGACACAGATTTTTTGATGCAACGAAAATCGTTAAAACATGTCAAATTCTATACTAAACGTATTCAGCCAAAACGGGGCTTACTTAAGATTATTAACATTGCGCCAATTACGGATGTGGAACATGTTCTTCTACGTCAAGAATGGGTAACGTGCTCATGATAAAATCAAAGGACTAGTAGCGGGAAAATGTGAACAAACATCATGAGTCAAATGAAAAAAAAAAAATATTGACTTCAACTTGGGTCGTTTTCTTCTACAAGTACCAAGAATTATACTATAAATACCTCGTGGATGAATTGAGTTCCATGCAAGCTTATTTGAAGTTTCATTTCTCAGTAACTGAAACAGCAAAATAAAGCATGGCTTTCTACACTAGTATGTCTCAGGTCCTTTTTCCCCTGATCTGGTGTTCTATTCTGATATGTCTCTCTTCAGGATTCCCTACCAGTGAATCATCAGTTTCCCTTTCAAAGGCTGAACAAGACTTTGAAATGTTCCAGCAATGGATGGCGGAGCACGGAAGAGTCTACCCAAACTCTGAAGAGAGCAACACTAGATTCCAAATATTCCAAAGGAATCTCAAGTATATTACTGAAACGAATGCTAAGAGATTCAAGTCACCATCTGGGTATCGTTTGGGCCTCAACAAGTTTGCTGATATGAGTCCTGAGGAGTTTACGCAAACCTACCTCCATCCGCTGGAGGTTCCGGCCACCATCACCCCGGCTTCCTCGAGCACCGGCTATGTCCAACAGAAGGACTCATGTGCACCCCCTTCTACCATGGATTGGAGAAAGCAAGGAGTTGTGACTCCAGTTAAAGACCAACAATCTTGTGGTAAGTTGTTCCTTTTGAACCAACAAAGTTCACTAATCTTGTTTCTAAAACTAACGGTTTTTAAATTTGAAGTGAACCTCTAGCATGTTTTATAAGAAAACAAGCTTTGTTTAAAATAATAATTTTTCCACCTAAAGTATCCCAAACTATATAACTTTCAAACTAATTAACCAAACTCCTCTAACTCATAATTTTTATTAAAGGTAATTATGATATTTTACCAGAAATAACTAATTTTAACTAACTTCATTAATTCATGTGAAGTTGTTACTCGGTGCTTATAACGAAAAGATCAACAGACTGGACTGATAGATTGTTTCCTTATTGTTTGTATATATAGGAAGTTGTTGGGCATTTGGAGCCACTGGAGCCTTGGAATCGATTTATGCAATAACCACCCGCAAACTTGTTAGCCTTTCTGAGCAAGAACTCGTAGACTGCGACCCCTTGAGCCAAGGTTGTGCAGGTGGATGGCCCCATAATGCCTTTAAATGGGTCATCCAAAATGGCGGGATTAGTAAAGAAGAAGATTATCCTTATGTCTCTCAGCAGGGTCCTTGCAAAGCCAACATGGTTTGTTTGCCTCTCTCATATTATGTAAAACTTACAGGAAATTACACTATCCATTAGGCATAAAACATTATCCCAACATATACACCTTAGATTTTGTGTTTATTTATGGAAAGTTAAAAGTTCTTTTGATACCATACTCGTTTTCTAATTTCTGGTTTATTTATATATGTTTCTGCAGCATGATGGAGACAAAGTGGTTAAAATTAGTAGCTACAGTAAGATACCAGAATCGGATGATGCTCTCTTGTGCGCCGCTTCCAAGCAGCCTGTACCTGTCGCTTTCAATGCAACAGATCTTCGATTTTATGAGAGTGTAGGTCTTATATATCTCAGTTCTCAATATTCAATATTTGTTGTGATCTTGTTAATGGCGGCCTAGTACACGAATCTCCGACCAGGTTAGGTCTGGTGAGGGATAAATATACATAACTTTATCCCTGCAAAGGAGAGGCTGTTTTCAGGATTTGAAGCCGCGTAATTTGTAAGAATCATACGTCAATCTTCAGTTTCCCCTTGTCACTTCTAACTTGTTTGTTCGCTTGACTAGGGAGTTTATGATGGTGAGAATTGCCCCGAGGATTCAACCGGTGTGACTCATGTCGCTTTGATTGTTGGATATGATTCAAAAAATGGCACGGATTATTGGATTGCGAAGAACTCATGGGGAGAGAATTGGGGAATGAACGGATACTTCTTTATTAAAAGGAACACAAACTTACCACATGGAGTTTGCGCCCTCAATGCTTGGGCTTATGTCCCAAACATGTAGACTAGTACACTTGTTACTTGGTCCGTCCCATTGTCAATCTGTTATGTGATGTACTTCTTAATTATTTGCTTTTGTGTGATGATTTACTATGAACTCATCAAGTCTCTATCATCAACTTTAAATAAAAAGCCTTAAATTATTTGCTGTTGTGTGATGATTTATTTGATGTCACTGTAGCTGACCTTATCAAAATTTATTTTTAACTTCAAAGGAATTGATTAGGATAAATAATATCAGTCTTGAAACTTCAACTCACGAAAGAAAGTAATCGTTTAAGGCCTTTTATAAGCGTGACTTCCCTATAAATTTTTTTGTCATAAAATGTTCATACACACACACACAAATCACTTGTACGAAAAAGTTTGCTCATAATTATAAGTCACCTGTAAGATAATTGATAAGTTTTTCTTTTAATTTTACACGGTTGACCTAATAAATGTAGAGAGAAATAAAGCAAATAGGTCAAAGAAAGTACAAAACGTATTTATTGCAAGCTTGAAATACAAGTGATTTATACTTATCTGGTCCTATTTATAAAACACAACAAACCGAGAAAAATTTTAAACTACCTTAACTCTCTATTAAAATATAACAACTTTAAAATTTTATCCCTATTTAATGTATACAGCTTTCCAAAAAAAATATCTAGCTATATATTCTTATTAAAAATTTAACGAAGTAATTTATAAATTGGATCAAAAAAAATTTCTATGTCTGCTCTATAAATAAGATCAAAGGAGTAAATAGGTACATAATGGGATACTAATTTGACACTCCCTCAGTTTTATTACATAAATACTTTTAGTTTATTGCGCACAAATTAAGAAAGGCAATAAATATATAAAAGGGAAAATTAATCCATAAATTGTTATTGTCCAACTCAATTTTGAATTAGGTTCGTTTTTTTTTATTATTATTTTGAATTCAGTCCTTATTCTATAATTTGTTAATTTTAACTTGTAAGTTTTATGGAATTTCATTTATAAAGATGCACGAGATAAAGATGGTGTGAAATAAATATGAAAAAAAATATCATACATCCCATGAAATTCTATAAATTAAAATTAATAGGTTTTACATTTAAGGATGCATGGATGACTATAAGGCTATAATGGACCAAATCACATTGGACAATTTTAAACAAAATAAGTTATAAGGATCTAATTTAGAATTGAGATAAACTATAGGAATATATATTCTTATAGATCAATTTTTTTCTATGCAAAAATATGATATATTTTGCCAAATTTGCCCCTCATTTATTGCTAACAGTACTTTAATACTTCTAAAAACATTATTCTGCTCCAGTGGTAAAACAAGAAAAATGATATTATATGTTGTTTTAGAATTAGAAGAAAACTTGAAATATAAAACAATTTTGCGTCAAAGACAAATATAATGAAATAAAGGAGGCAAAGAGCAGTATAATTGCAGTTAATGGCTGGCAAAAAAAAAATCAATAATTGTAGTTCATGGCTAGTAAATAAATTAAACCAATATGAAATTCTTTATAAACGAATCAATGAAATGGTTCGCATTCCGTGCTCATCAGCCTGATGAGCACGGAGTGCTCAGAGCGTTTTGAGTGCTGAGCATTTTTATTTTTTTTTATTTTATTTTTTGTTACAAAAAAGTTTATATCATCTCAAATTATTAATATAAAAATTATCTTGATATTTAATTTAGTCTTAAATATAATATTCTAATCTATTTTATCTTTTATATATATTTATTTTTTTCAATATAGTCCTTATAATAATTGTACGCGTTAAAGATTTAATCAATTGTTGATTTTAGTTAATACACATAATTAGTGAGAGGCATTTTAGAGAAAACAACACTTATTTATTACAATTGAATAATTTAGCTAATTTTTGTAGTATACTTGAATTAGTTAAACTAACTCTTATATTAAAAATTAGAAGAAGTATGTATTAAAATTATTTTTGGTTAACATTTATCTAGTACTCAAAAATATTTTTTTAGATGTTTTCAATATCTTAAAGTATTTTATGATTTATTTAGTACCTTAAAATATTTTTTCACATGCATTTAATGTTTTAAAAAATTTTCTATTTCTTGATATTGTATCATAAAATATTTTAGAATACTAAAAAATATTTCAGGATATTAGATAAATCATAAAAGACTTTAGAATACTAGATCCTAAAATATGTTTTTAGGTAAGCCCAGTCACAAAGTATTTTAAAATAATGAACATATATGAAAAAATATTTTAGGTACCAAATAGATCACAAAATACTTTAAAATATTATATTCTTAAATATTTTTTTAAATGCATTGTCAGAAAATATTTCAGAACACTAAATACATATTAGAAAATATTTCAGAATATGATAAAATATTTTAAAATATTGAATATGTGTAAAAAAATATTTAAGAGTATTAGATAAACTTTAACTAAAAATAATTCTAATACATATATTTTTTTGTAATAAAAAAAAAAAGGTCTCTCATGCTCAGCACTCAAAACGTCCATGTTTTGAGTGCTGAGCACTCCGTGCTCATCAAGACGATGAGCACGGAATGCGGATCCATCAATGAAAGAAATTTGTCTTCTTCCACATAACACCCGCCACCATTATTGTCTACGGTGTAAATTTGAAATTAACATTCAAATTACATGGTGCTCTCCCAAGACCGTTAATTGGAGAAGACTTCTGGGGTCCAAATGTCTAATAAACTCGTTAATATAAGTTACATTATTAAATTCGTTTATATGAATATACATTATACAATTGTGTTCTTCATTTATTATTCAAGAGAACAAGGTTTTAAAGTACCAGTATAAAGTATATACTAAACAGGTGTAAAGTTGACAAATTATTAAATTTTATAATAAAGTTAATGAAATTAAGATTTTTCTTAATTATGGTGAAACATATTAGAGTCATATTATCTTTGAAATGGTAAAAAAATGACTTCAATTAATAATATCATGAAGACATTATTATTAAGTCCATAACGTAATGCTTTTATTTCGGTGGTCGTTATAGCTAGCATAATGCTTTTATTTCTTCTTCTTGGCCACCCTACAAGAGAGAACTATTCCTATTTTACCGGACAATTGTATATTGAGATATACTGTTTATACTATATTGTACTCTTAACGTTATTTCTATAGGCACATGAGCCTTTTTTTAAAAACAGGAAAAATGATTAAAAAACACCTGTTGAATTTCAAAATGATAAATAAGTTATTTTAACAAATTTTGATAGATCAAAACTATTACAAGAGTAGTCAAAACTATTTGCCGTATCACAAGAATGATTGAAAAAAGTTTTATGATGTCCATGAATAACTATAACAATATATCCAAAAAGGACACATTAATAATCTACTATAGTGAATAATTCATGACTTTTTATTTAGAATTTATAATAGCTTTGAGTTCATGACAAGAAGAAAACAGAAATTGACCAAAGATTTGCTAGCTAGCCGGTATATTAATCTTATATGGTTGGGTAGCAAGCCATGGTATTAATGGCGCAAACTCCATTTGGAAAATCTGTATTCCTCTTAACATGGAAGTATCCATTTATTCCCCAATTTTCTCCCCATGAGTTCTTCACAATCCAATAGTCATCTCCATCTTTTGAACCATATCCCACAATTAAAACAGCATGATTCACATAGATTGAATCCCTTGAGCAACACTGACCATCATAAATCCCCCAAAAATTCAAAAATAAATGTCATTAACGTAAAATTAAAAATGCTAAACTATACAAAAACTTAAATGTTATTAAAGTAAAATTAAAAAGGCTAAACTGTACAAGAACTCTCTTGGACTTTTAAGTCTATGTAGATTACCTCCAACTATCAATTACATATCCCCATAATAAACCTTGTTTTTGTGTGTATATATTAGCTCTCAAACTGCGGTTAATGTGTAGATAATCCCTCTAAACTTTAGGTTGTAGGTGTGGATAAGTAATGTACAGAATTTATCGTATGAGTCATATACATAAATGTAAAAGTTTAGGAGGGCTTATTGTGAAGTTTCAAAGGTCATAGATATTATCTGTACATGGTCCCAAATTCAGAGGTTACGTATAGTTTGGTGCGTTTCATATGAAAGTTTAAACTAAGTACATAAATTCTGGCGAACTAAAAGAAAGATTTGTTATTTATATGTATTAGAACACTCAACTAATATTAATTCAATAAAACGATTAAGTAGGAAAAAAAACACGTTGAAGATTGAATGAAGACAGAGAAAATACTTACGCTGTCATAGAATTGAAGATTTGATGAATCCAAAGATACTGTAATAGGCTGCTGAGCCACAGCACACAAGAGGGCTTCTCCCTATTGATCTACTTGTGCATAATTTGTAATTTTCACGCCACTATCTCCATTTTGCTTTGGAAACGTTTTGAAATCCTCAAATTAGACAGAGAAGCTATAATGTGTGACACACACACACACGCACATATATAGAGAGAGAGGGACAACAGGGTTGAGTCTAGCCAAAAGGGCTAGTTTCTCACAATGTGGCAAATTATGAGAGGTGTTCAAATTTAATGCCCCATAGTGTCTCAAACAAGATTACCACCAATAGGAGGATACTTGTGCTTAACAAATATATACATGCATATATATATATAGAGAGAGAGAGAGATGAAACAAACTGTATTGGCTTTGCAGGAATCGTCTAGAGCTACATAGGGGTACTCTTCTTCTTTATTAATGCCACCATTTCTGATAACCCATTCAAAAGCACTCTTAGGGGACCCACCTAAACAACCATGGCTTACAGAGTCACAATCTACAGGTTCTTGTTCTGAAAGGGATATAAGTTCCCCTGTCTCTATTGCCTGTATTAATTCAATGGCCCTAATGCTTCCAAATGCCCAGCAACTTCCTATGAACCATAAAACATTAATCTATCAGCACATTGAACCTTTAGAGACATACAAAAGGAAACTTGATATATTTCTTATAATAGGGTTCCATCAAGTCCATACCACAACGTTGCTGGTCTTTAACCGAAGTCACGGCTCCTTTCTGTCTCCAATCCACAGAGGCAGGTGGTGTGCATGAGTCCTGTTTCACGTAGCCAGACCTCGAGGCGGTGGTGGCTGGGTTGGTGGTGGTCGGCGCAGGTAGTTGGTGAAGGTACACTCTCTTGAACTCCTTAGGACTCATATCAACAAACTTGTTGAATCCCAAACGATAGCCACCGCTAGAGGAATTGGATCTCTTGGCATGCTTCGCTTTGATATGCCTCAGATTCATTCAAAATATTTGCTATCTGCTTTCACTCTCTTTAGAGTTCGTGTACATTCTTGCACGCTGCTTCATCCATTGTTGGAATGTTTCATACTCTTCTTCTCCCTCTGAAGGGATAAATCCTGAAGAGAGACATGTCAGAATCAAGTTCAAGATTAAGAAATGAAGGAACGAGGTTTTAGAAATAGAGAAAGGCCACGCCAACTAGCTTGTTTGTTGTTTCAATTACTAAGAAATGAAACTAGGCTTCAAATAAGCTAGAGCTTGCATGAAAGCAAAACCAGCGATGAGGTATTTATAATGTAATTCCACAATGTAGTTGTGAGGGAAAAACTTCAACTATGAGTTAACTTTAGATATTTTTGTAACATCACCACTTACTAACTAGAACTAACCATGATAGAAAGGAATAAAACTAGTAAACATACCCTATCATGGTTATTTAGAAGCAATCATATCATCAAGGGGCTAACTATGATAGGAAAGCATTCGCCCTTAATTAAGGCTATCATGGTTGGAAAAAGAATAATCTATATCTGTAATTGTAGCTAACATGGTTATAAGACAATATGCCTCTGAATGATAAATTATAATAGCAGTTTAGATTTGACTATATTAGTCAATACTAACAACAACTAAACTTGCAAAAATTGTCATTATCACATCGTGGATCCACAATAATTCAATCACATGAAATCTAAGGGCTTCAGGCCTACTGGCAGCACTCTAGTCCAATGTTCAGACAAAATAAACCAAAGATAAAAGGTATAATATGTTCACTAAGTCAAACGACATAAAAATATGAGAAGGTAAAATAAGTCCTAAATGAATGCAGTCTTAATACGTGGCAATATACCAAAAGATCGCATAAAATAAGGTCCACATCAAGAGTCTTCCCTGAAGGTACCACTAACGTATTGTTTCCTAAAAAATGGTAAAGCAACGGGAATGAGACAACGTCTCAGTAACTAAATCCCTACCTATCACACACCCTAACATAGGCTAGTGAGGTGTCAGGTGGGATACACAAAGTTAATAATAGTTGATAGACATTTATTTAACATTTAAACCCACAATAATCATATAAGACAAATATTTCCACCAATCTCATGTAGTTGATACATTTCAAAAGATAACATACTTTTTATTTATTTAAAAGATATAAATGTTAATGAATATCCCATGTCATATGCAATTCTTGAACCCAAATCCATCATTATATCCTCCTTATTTCTGTCGACTGGACCTAAGGGCTAAGTTCTTTCCATTTGACTGGCAACTCTGATAAGCTCACCACACAAGTGATGTCGATCGGCCAAAGACCATAGAGCACTCAGTGGACCATGGGTCCCCCCTCAAAGAACTAGTAGAGTGTCGCAGTCCCTCAAAGAACTAGTGGGACAATAATAGCAGCCAACCATAGAGCTCCGTATGGAGGCCAATACCACGTGGCAAGTATATGAATTTCAATAACTCTAATTATCTCCTTCCTCCACCCAAACTAGATGCACAGAGTTCAAAACGACACATTTATATGCATAATTAACCGAATTTCATAATAACACATAATCATGATCAGGAATTTCTCACAATACAAATGATATCAATCCTTTTTAAAATAGCATCCCACAAGATAGTTCATACAAAACATAATATACTTTTATAGAATTAATTATAAAACCATTCACCAACTTCATACTAGAGCATGCAACATATGAAAATTTAGTTACTTGGTCTCCTAGCTAACAGTCAAATACAACTAAAGTCCAACCTTGAAAATGCCACAATAGAGTTTATATCTACAAAAAAAATTAAAATGTTATCTCTATAGTATTAGAGTAGGCTACTCACAAAATTCTAGCCTCTAACTCCTCCTCTAAAAGCTTTAATTTTTACTCAGAATTCTAGCCTAAAAGACATTTCTCTAAGGTTTAAAATGATAACACATATATATGATTTAGACTCGATTCCTAAATTTTTCTTGCTTAAATATCCTTTAATTATTAGATTATATTATTAGAATCATCAAATTCATAACGTGAATAGACCAACTATAAATTTATAACTTATGTTCTATCTTCAAAGGACTTAAACAAATAGACTTAATAAGAACCAGGTTATTCTCACTACAGAAGTTAAACCCTTAATCTAACCATTGAATTTAATTTCCTATCTATCATGATACTATTCTCCAAATTATAGCTCAATCTAACAGTTAACAAACTTAAAAATGCTAATTTACTATTTAGGACTCTATCTGCTAAATGTAAAAAAAAATAAGTCGAAAACATACCTAATAAGTTGCAAGTTGGAGATCAAAATGATGATCCAATCGTTAAAATTAATGACTTGGATGTTCCAAATGGGCTGACCAAATTTTAGTCCGATCCAACAGTTAATAAACTCAAAACTAGCACTTTTCTAAGACTACCTCAGATATGTGTGAAAATTATTTACTCACTTCAAACTCCACCCACTACCTCCTGTATATAGACCCCTCAAGCTCCTTTACTTTAATGATTAGTTGATGTGGGATTTCTATACCATGGTATAATTTTCTAAAATATCATCCACATACACATTCACACACACTCACACACAAAAATATTAATAATGATGATGATGATGATGATGATAATTTGCCTATACCTAAATTTTTATTAACTTAATAATAAAATATATTTATTTATAAATTTAATTAAATACTAGCTATAAAAATAACGATGTTACAATTCTTCCCACCTAAAGAAATTTTGTCCTCAAAATTAAATAAAGGACGATGTGTTCATACCTTTATTGAATAGGTGAGGATAGTCACGACGCATTCTCTCCTCAGTTTCCCAAGTAGTATCACTATGTGACATGCCCTTCCAAAAGATTTTGAGGAGTCTAATAGTCTTATTCCGCAATTCTTTATCATTCACATCTAGGATTTTCTCTGGTTCTGCTTTATAAGTCAAGTCTTCTTGTAGTTCCACCTCTTTTAATTCCATAATATATGATGGGTCCGACTAGTATTTCTTTAATTGGGGGACATGAAATACGTCATGCACCTTTGACAAGTGTGGAGGTGGTGCAATGCGGTAGGCTATTGACCCAATTCTTTCTAGGATTTCATGTGGTCTGATATATCTGGGTGTCAACTTTTTAGCCTTAATAGATCTACCAATACCGGTAGTAGGAGATACCTTCAGGAACACATGATCGCCTACTTCAAACTCTAGAGGTCTTTGTCTTTGATTAGTATAGCTTTTCTATCTACTTTGTGCAGTCAGCAACTTTTGTTTGATTACTTCAATCTTCTTGGTGGTCTCATCCATATACTTAGGACCAATAATAGTCCTTTCACTCAACTATGTCCAACATAATGGTGATCTACACTTTCTGCCATATAATGCTTCAAATGGTGCTATTTGTATACTAGAATGGTAACTATTGTTCTAAACAAACTCTGCTAATGATAAGTGGCTATCCCAACTCCCTCTAAACTCAATAACACATGCTTGAAGCATATCTTCCAATGTTTGTATGGTTCTTTTGGTTTGTCCATCAGTCTGCGGGTGGTATGCTGTACTAAAACACAATTTGGATCCCATTGCCTCTTGTAACAACTTCTAAAATCCTGATTTGAATCGGGATCACGATCTGAGACTATACTAGTCGGGGTTCCATGAAGTCTAATTATTTCTGAGACATATATTTGTGCTAACTTTTCCATCGAGTAGTTCATTTTAATGGGTAAAAAGTAGGCAGACTTTGTTAACTGATCCATAATAACCCATATGGCATCAAAACCTGTTGGTGTTCTTGGTAATCCCATAATGAAGTCCAAAGAGATACTCTCCTATTTCCACTTGGGTATCTCTAGATTCTACAACAAGCTTGGGAGTTTTAAATGTTCGATCTTTACTCTCTGACAAGTGAGACACTTCTGTACATACTTCGTCACATCTTACTTCATCCTTGGCCACCAATATTGTTGCCTTAAGTCATGATACATCTTAATTGCTCCTGGATGCATGGTATATTTACTTCGATGGGCTTCCTCTAGTACCGGCCTCTTAATTTCTCCATTACTTGGAATGCACACCTTCCTTTGGTATCTTAAAATACCATCCTCCCCAAAGCTATAATCCTTTCTCTCTCCTTTCTGTAACTCCTTAATTCTCTTTAGGTGCTCATCTTGTAGTTAAGAAGTCACAAGTTCCTCCCTTAAATCAATCACCTTAACATCTGATCGCAACAGGGTAGGTGAGCTAGGAAAAACCCTGCTATCCCTTAAGCTCTCTAGTGAGTAGTACTCTCTTAGATTCATATAGAGCACATGAACGATTTTTTGGCTTAGGGCATCTGCGACCATATTTGCCTTGCCTGGGTGATATTTCAATTCAAAATCATAATCTTTTAGGAAGTTTAGCCACCTTCACTACCGGTTGTTTAATTCCTTCTAATCAATCAGATACTTTAGGCTCTTATGGTCACTAAACACTTTAAATTTTGACCCATAAAGATAGTGTCTCCAAATCTTAAGGGCAAATACCACTGTTGTCAGCTCTAGATCATGAGTTGGATAATTTTCCTCATGGGATCTTAGCTGTTGTGAAGCGTATGCTACCACCTTCCTATCTTGTATTAACACAGCACCTAAACTTTTCAATGAGGCATCAGTATATAGGGTATATGGCCGATTTGGGTCAGGGATAGTAAGAACATGTGCGGTTGTTAATCGGCATTTCAACTCTTGGAATACAACTTCACATTTATCAGTCCAGATGAATGGTTGATCTTTCTTTGTCAATTTCATTAATGGCATGGCAACCTAAGAGAATCCTTTGATAAACCTGTGATAGTATCCTGCTAATCCCACAAAGCTTCTAACCTCTATAATTGACTTGGGTGACTCATATTTCAGGACAACATCTACTTTACTCAGGTCTATTGCCACCCCCTTTGCTAAAACCACATGGCTTAGAAAGTTTATTCCTTCAACCAAAACTCACACTTGC